GCAGGACTCTTCTAGGTACCTCTGAGTCTAACAGTAACGCCATCTCAGGCTAGATGCCCCAACCCTCAGCAACCCCTGGCCAGCAGAGGTGTAGTCTCAGCAGAGGAGGTAATCCATATTAGCCACCTCTCAAATGAGTAGAAGCATCTGACTGAGCATCCCACCCTCAACCTACTGCTAGATCTGCATCCCAAACATCTTGGCTCCACCAACAAAAGCGGTGGTAACAGCAACAACCAGGTGCCTGGACCACCACTATCACCATCTCCATCCTACCTATGCTCCATCTAAACTTAACTTTTTTTTCTGATTTTTCTTTCTTGCTCTTAACATATTTGTCAATTTCCCCCATTTCATCCACTTTCTGTCCTGGTCTTTTAATTTTTCTCTTTGTCTTTTCTTTCTTGCCTTTCTATTCGAATTCTTGTTTCTTTTGCATTACCATAGTTTCTGGTTTTCTTTTTACTTTACTGTGCATTCTTATTTTTTCTTAGGGGGAGGATGGGATTTTCTAATTTTTTGTTTTCCCCTTTTTTTCTTCTGTTTCCATTTTCTTTGTCCCACCTGTCAACAAACAGCGACAGTATTCACACAGCCAAAACATACATATACCTCATAAAGCTTTACTCAATTATCATTGTTCCACCTAATCAATAAAAAGACTGCAGCCAGTCCAGTCTGCCCTGAACTACTCTACACGTCTGCACACATAATTCCAACCTCTACCCTATCAACCAAAAGACAGGAGATCAAAGACTAAGAACTGCCAAACTGGCAAGCCATGCAGTACACATGTATGGCTCAATCAGAAGTATCAACAAAAAATTATTTGATGAGCAACTGGTCACAGGGCTAGCACAGGACCAGGCAGTATTTCACTTAACATTAGGTCACTCTGTGAATCAGAAGCCGACCTGACAGGTGCTAAGAACAAAAATTTTCAAGGTTTTTCTCTAAGACTGAACTGTACAGGAACTTTATCTTTGACATAAGCGGCACTGTTGTAATAATCTGAGATTCTCTTCAGTCACTGTTCCTTTTGTTGACAGGTGCCATCAAGTCAGCTACAATTAAAAGCAACTCAATGAAAACTAGATCTGAACTGTGCCATATTGTACACCATCCTTGACTGCAGCCAATGTGTCAATCCATCTCACTGAAGGTCAGCTTCTCTCACAGTCTCTCTCCCTTTCCAAGTATGTTGTTTTTACCCAAGGACTGGTCTCCTGACAACATATCCAAAGTAAATGACATGAAGATTCACTATCCTTGCCTCCAAGGAGCACCATGGTTGTACTTCCTCCAATGCAAGATTTATCTATTGTTCTAGCAGTCTATGGAATATTCAATAATCTTTGCTCACATCAATTAATGATTTTTAGTTGTTTTTAGGTGCTGCTGAGTCAAATACAATTCACAGCAACCCTCTGAACAGCTGACCTGAACTTTTCCCTATCCTTTGTCAACCTCATCATCTCTGACTCACTAGAGCCCAATGCTGAAGTCACTATGTCATCTCATTGGGGGTCTTCCTCTTCACTGACCCTTAATTCTTTGATGCTATTTATTTCTTAATACTGTGCTTTATCTTTAATGTATATTTTCCAAAGCACTATTGGGAAGAACTCTCTATTAGTAAGGTGCTCTTAAAAGGTCACGCAATTTAAAATTTGGTCACCACAGTCAACAGGAAAGATACAGGCAGACAAGCAAAATAAACACATAGACAGAGGACTAGGACTACAATCATTACCATACATATTTGGGAGATGATAGCTCTATATTCATATTAGTAGTTTTCATTTGCTATGTTAAGCGACTCAGAGCAACTTTATGTACAACAGCTCTGAACCCTGCTCTATCCTAAACCAACTTTAACATCTCCGGCACACCTGCTCCCATTATCCCAATCACTGAGTCAATGCATCTCATCAAGGGTCTTCTCTTGCACTGTCTCTCTATCCTCCAAAGCATGATGTCCCTCTCCAAGGACTGGTCCTTCCTTGCAACACGCCCAAAGTATGCCAGATGAAGTTTCAGAATTCTCACCTCCAAGGAGCAACCTGGCTTCACCCTCTCCAGGACAAGTCTGTTGTTTTCCTACTCTTCTCCCGCACCACAACTCAAAGTTATCAGTTCTCTTTCTATCATTACTAGTAATTGTCCAGCTTTCTGATGCATAGCAAATAACACTGAAGACCATGGCCTGAATCAGGGGCACCTTAGTCTCCAGACTGACATTGTTGCTCTTCAGCACTCTGAAGATGTCCATGACAGCACACTTTCCCAATGCAATTTGTATTTTGATTTCCTGGCTGCTTGTACCAAAGAGTGGAACCAAGCAACTATGCTGTTAACAATCTCAATCTCTTCACCATCTATCATGATGCTGCCAATCAGCCCAGTGATGAGAATCTGTTTTCTTGATGATGAGATTCAATAGGAGGCTGCAGTCCCTGACCTTCTGCAGCAAGCGCTTCAGGTCCTGCTCAGTTTCAGCAAGCAGGGTTGTGTCATTTGCATAATGCAGTTTGTTGATGAATCTTCCACCAATCCTGATGCCACATTCCTCTTCATAGAGCCCAGCCTCCTGGATGATTTGTTCTGCATATAAATTGAAATGATATGGAGACAGGACACATCCTTGGAGTATACCCTTCCTGATTTTGAAGCATGTAGTGTTTCCTTGCATCCATAATGTATACTGGAGCTTTCAAGAGGTACTGCTTATCTTCTTAGTCATAACCAAACACCCTGAGGGAACAAGTTGTTAGTTCTGGGGCCTCAGCTTCATAGTCTTGATCATATCAAGGTGAAGTGACATCATATTTTAAGGGTTAAGGTAACTAAATCAGGAGTTGCTTGGATCAAGATAATGTAATCCAAGAAAAATGTTAAAGAGAAAACTATTAAATGCACATTGGGGAAAAACAAGGAAAATATTCCTAAGTAAATGTTGGATTGTTCAACAGACCAAAAAGTAAAAGTTATTAAGTGTCAGTATGTTCCGAGAAGGTCAGAATATTATGCCTTGTAAGTATGTATGCATGTAGTATATTTCAGAGAAAACATTCTCTTGCTAATTCAAAATTACTATTAAGAATGTAGTTATAAAAAAAGGGAAAGGTCACTGTAACAAACAGAATGTCTTGTAAAAATCTCTTGATTCTTGTGAATATTTCCTTTTGCTTATATTGGAAAACTTCTCAATAAAAGCAATGAGGATGCACAAGTAGAGAGGACAGTCAGCCATGACTTCCACTTCCCTTACCTCTTGACTAACTAAAGTCTTGATTAGTTCATTCCGTCACCAAGCACTTACCTGTTGATCAGAGAAGTGCAATATGGCGTAGTCCACAAAGACAATATTATGTATCCTACTCTGATGAGTCTATCCTGGAGAGGGTGAAACCAATTCTCCTTCAAGGCTAGGATTTTGAAGCTCTGTCTCACATACTTTGGGCACGTGGCCAGGAAGGACCAGTCCTTGAAGAAGGACATCACTCTTGGAAGGGATAGCGCAGGAGAGGAAGAACCTGGATGAGATGGACTGATAAAGTAACTAGGGTAATAGAGGTAGGTGTGTCAAAGTCAGTGAGACTGGCTCAGCACAGGGCAAGCTTCAGAGCTATTGTGCATAGGGTCGCTATGTGTCACAGGTCAATCAACAGCACATAACAGCAGCAGCAGCAGCACTCTTATAAGAGCAATGGAATCTTAAAAGCTTTAGAGCAGCCAAGTAAGGTGCAACAACAACAAAGCAAAGATGTATTGAAACAAATGGAATGAGAACTTCAACTTTCCTGACCCTTGAGATCAGAAGAACTCTATGGTACCCAGGTATGATGACTAACCATTCTAAAAAGAATCACAGTAGATGATCTTGAGTAGCGTGGCAGAAAACATGGAGCAAAATTGAAAAACTAAAGACCAGAATGAATGACCTAATAGAGCCTGGTGGAACAGCTAAAATGGAATTAACCTCTTGAACCTGGAACAAAACACCCATTATGGCTCAACTTCCAAACAAAAACAACAGACAGGTCCATAAAACCTGGGCCCAATTACACTAACACTTAAGAGTAACCAACTATATAAGGTCAAAAGAGCAGCATCTGCCCAAGAACAAAGCCCTGAAAGCAGGATGAAGTAGGATAAAAGGACTATGGTAATCAGAACTAGATGGAGGAAATGGGAGAAATGTGATTCTATTGTAATTTATGTTATAAAGCAAAATTTGTGAATGGTTGAAATAAAAATCAATTTCCTTTGCAAACCATCACTAAAATCAGAAAAAAGTGCCTGTAGTATATAGCATAGTAAAAAAAGACTCCTAAACCTAAAGGTTTCTATCAAAATATTAAGGCTGAGAATGAGCCAGAAAAAAACCCCTGTCATAATTTGTAAATAGTGATAAAATTCATACTAATTACTTATTCCTGAATGATAATGCCAATAAATCTCAAATGATCTTTGGCTCCATGAATAATTAAAACTATAGAACATACATTAATATACATTATAGCATAACATATGGCCTACTGGTAAAGAGCTACACTGCCAAACCAAAGCCTCTGAAAACCTGCTGGAGGGTCAGCTACCAACTGGCTCTGATTTGATGGTATATAAAACATAGTATATATTTAAAATTTAAAACTTTTGATGCGCTGGTGGCATAGTCATAGAGAGCTATGCTGCCAAGCCAAAGGCTACACCTCTCTAGTGGTTCAAATCCACCAATCACTCCTCAGCAGAAAGATGGGCAAGCTTCCAACTTGGAAAACCTACTGGAAAGTCAGCTTTGCTTCCAATTCAAAAGCAGTAAGAGTACATGTATACTCACACACATCAAAGTTTTAAATTTCCTAGTTACTACTGGCTGCTCATAAACATAAACCCAAGTTCATTTTCAGTTCTGAAATAAGCATGCAGGTCTCTCTAGCTCCCATTCTACATGATAATATGGATGGAGGTAGAGAAGAATGTATAGTTACACTTACCACTAGAGCTTTCACAGAAGCTTTCTGAGGCATGGGTAGATGCTTTGTCCAGTTGCTGAGACTCTACCACAGAGTCCAAAGGCTTTATATCAGGCATTTTAGACTTTTCTTTTAATACACACTCTGTTTTCTCTTGAGGTTGGATATCCTGCATTTTCTGCTCAGGTCTCAAAGTATCATTTGCTCTCACTGAATGCAAAGGAATCTCTTCTACAGGTTCCTTTTCTGCAGTTACTGATTTTAGCTGATCTTCAAATTCTGCATTCTTTTCCTCCTGGGTATCTACTCTATTCTCAGGATTTGGTTCTATTTCTGGAGCAACATCCTCCCAAGACTGGGAATCTGAGCACTTCTCCACTCCCTCCAAAGGTTCACAAGAAACATCAACTCTAGGCGATGGATCCTTCACATCTACAATAACAACACTTGAGTCCTCTGAAGTAGCCTCTTCCCACGCTTCCTGATCCTTGTGTTCCAATTCTTGGTCAAGCACTGGCAGCTTCTGTGGAGAATCAATACTAATTACGTTGGTTTCAACTTCCATAGCTTCCTGACATTCTTGTTCTGAAATTTTATTTTGAAGACACAACCCTTGGGATTGAGTTTCTGTCAAAGAAAGGTGAAATGGAGTACTTCCATTTTCTTCTTTGGTTTCTTCTCGCTGACTTTCACAAGGAGTCTCAGGGATTTCTTCCACCTCAGACCCTGAAGACCCTTCCTCTGGATGGTGGTCTTTAATTTCAATAGCTTCCTCCTGGTCTAACACACTAGACAGTGCCTCAGATCGAGTAGCTGGAGAAGGAACTGCCTGACTTCCTGAATCACAAGTGAGATCAATACAAATGTCTTCTGCTGCAGTCTCTTCTTTGTCTTTGCAATCAGTAGCTAAAATACTAATGTCATCTCTGGCCTCCGTATCCTCTTTTGTTTTATCATCATTATCATCAAGTTCTACTTGACTATCCTGTCCTGGATTCATAATGACGCTCTCATTTTCATTATGTACAAGTTTAGAATTGAGAACTGGAGACATGGGCTCAGTATCCTCAATCTGTGTATTTTCTCCATCTTCAACAATGCTGTGAGAAGTCAAGTCCTCCTTGTTTGGAGACTGACTACATTCACTTGCAGAAAGCATCAATTTACAAGAATCCCCCGTCAGAGAAAGTCCAAGATCCTCAGTGGAATTCTTTGGTTCAATCTCTGAAGTTTTTGAACATTCAACAGTCAAAGATGAATTATTCAAGTCTCTATCTTTCTTCCCATCATTTGATCCTTCTTCCAAACTTGGAGATGGGATAAAAATATCCTAATAAAGAGGAAAAATAAAAAGATAATCGTTATTTATTCATATTTCTTTTATTTCTAAGTCTTTAATTCATCTGAAATTTTTAAACTAATTATTACTCATGGTGAGAATGAAAATGCTAATTTCAACACATAAAGCAGTTTCATCATTAATGCAAAAATATGCCAGTCTTACCTTAATTCAAGTATCATTCCGTTTAATGCCTTTCTTGTGAAATCAGTGATAATGAGTAAGCATAACCTATACAAAAACCTAAGTTTAACTCTAACACCAAACTACTTAATCACATCGTGATGAGCCATCAATTACACAGAAATCTTTTTAATATATCCAAACTGCCCTATTCTCACAAAGTATGAATAATGCATTTATTTTCTCACTATTTCAAAATATATTAAGATTCATAAAACAGATATTAAAATCAATAACTTATATTAACAGTTATCAGAGGGAAGCAAATTAAAGTCTAATAATGAGGTGCGACAACATACCCATAAGAATGGCTAATTTTAAAAAGACTGACAAAATCAACTATTGGTGAGGCTGTGGATTAATTGCAACTCTCATATATTGCTGATGGGAGTGCAAAAAATTGTACTCACTGACAAACAGTATGGCATCATATACACATATATATAGTTATAGCTTATTATATTCTAACCCAAGGCAATATAATATGTGTAGAAGTGAACTGCTCTACATAGTTTTCAAGACTTTAAACTTTCAGACTAGACTGCCAAGTCTTTGTTCTAAGGTGTCTTTAGGTAAATTCACACTGCCAAACTAGTGATTGATTGCTTAACTACAAATAGCCAGGGAGCTCCAAAAAGTATAGCAGTTCCTTATAAAATTAAACATATATTATACTGTGACCCAGCAATTATATTCTTTTAGTTCAAGATTACAAAGACAATTAGATAACACAAAACAACAGCCTTAATTAATCAAGCTACTTTTTTTTTAATCAAGCTACTTTTAAAAAAATATTTTTGTTTTAATTTTTTTTAATGGATTAATATATCAGTTTATTTATACATCTATCCATCCATCTGTCCATCCTTCCATTTTTTTTTCTATAATTATATTTTATTAATTTTCATAAACATTTACAGAGATTTTGGGCTTCCACTCATTCATTGTTGCACTATTCTCTCTACCCTCCTCCCAGTTTGTTCTTGTCCAAATGCCACAGTGCTTGTCAAAGCCAGTTCTGATTAATCTTCTTTGTCAGTGTGTCCTTTGCCATTCCCTATCACTCCTCCCTGAGAGAGACTTCCACCCTGAGTCATAAGGAAAAAGGGATGGCGTATTCTCTTAGCTACTTCCTGCTGAAAAGGGATGCTGTGGGTTAATTTTAATGAACATTTACAGAGATTCTGGATTTCCATTCATTCATTGTTGCACTTTTCTCCCTGCCCAGCTCTCCCCCACCAGTTCGCTCCTCTCTTTGAAAAGGAAAATTCTTTCATTGGTATATAATCCCTTTGCACCCCTCCCACCACCCCAAGGACACTCCACTATACAACCTTAATTCTGGACTCTTGTGATAGCCATAATACCCTATCATGTATCACTTTTAAATTGTTCTCTCCCTCATATGTTTCAGTGCAGTATACATAATTTATCTAGCTTTTCTCAGTCTTACCCCAACCTTGATGTCAGTCCCATTCTACAACAGTGGCACCATGCAATATTTGTCCTTTTGTGGTTGAGATATTGCACTCAGCATAATGTCCTCCAGTGTCACCCATTTTGAGTAATACTGTATTGCGTTCCTTGTTTTTCAATGCAGCGTAGTATTCCATTGCATGAATATCCATTCGTTTGTTGATGGGCACTTGGGTTGTTGCCAACTCCTTGCTATTGTGAACCAAGCCACAATAAACATGGGTGTACATATATCTGCTTGTATGTCAGTTATGGTCTCTTTAGGGTATATTCCCAGTATTGGAATTGCTGGGTCAAATGATATCTCTAGATGCAACTTTCTGAGAAAGCGCCACACCATTTTACACAGTGGTTGCACCATAAAGCTACTCAAAAAAATACTAAATTCCTCAGGAGGCCTAATGGTTTGTGCTGCTAATCCCAAAGCATGTTGTTCAAATTCACCAGCTGTTTTATGAATAAAAGACAGGCAATCTCCTCCCATGCAATTTACAGCCTCTGAAAATCTGCTGGAGTATCAGTTAGGAGCCAGGTCTAATTCAACAGCACATAACACCACCATCAACAGAAGTATATTGAAATTTAGCTATCAGGTAATTCACTGTTCCATTGTTATTTTAGAATAGGAAACAATATGAAACATCCTAAATGTCTAAAGATAAGAGATTCAATTAAAAATGGCTATAAGTACACATGATCAAGTATTTTACAAGAAATATAAAAACACACATATTATGTATTAAACAAGGAGCTCTGATGAATCAGTAGCTAATTGCTGGGCTGCTAACTAGAAGACTGGCTGTTCAAACTCACAGTTTAAACCCACCAGCTACTCCACAGAGAAAGCTGTGACAGGCAGCATCCCTGACTTCAGTGAAGACCTTGGAAATTCTATGCAGCAGTTTGACACTATCTTACAGAGTCATTATGAGCTGAAATCAATTTAACAATAGTAGTCTTGGGTTTTGCTTTATATGTGTATGTTGTTGACTGCCTTTGAATTGAGCATGACTCATAGCGACCCTATGAACAAAAGGCCTGAAGTGCCTACAATATTGACATTTATCAAAGTTTATAGAGTTTCTGGAGGCATGTTATTTAGGAAGTGGATGCCACTCCTGCTTCCAAATCTATCACAGTTGTGGTGTTGTTGTTATGTGCCATCGAGTCTCCTGTGATGTAAAAGACGTGAAGAAATGTTCAAAATCCCTAACTCGAAGAGAGATGTAAATCAAAACAACTATGAGATATCATCTCACCCCAGTAAGAATAGCAAAACTTAACAGAACAGTAAAGAAAAAGTACTGGCAAGGTTGTGGAGAAACTGGAACCCTTATTCACTGCTGGCAGGAGTGTAAAATGGGGCAACCACTATGGAAGGCAGTATGGCGCTTTTTCAAAATGCTGCAAATAGAAATACCATTTGACCCAGCAATTCTACTACTTGGAATATACCCCAAAGAAACCATAACCACCACCGATGCAGATACATGCACACCCATGTTTATCACGGCTTTGTTCACAATAACAAAGAGTTGAAAACAACCTAAGTGCCCATCAACAAACAAATGGATAGAGAAGCTGTGGTACATTCACACATGGAATACTACGCTGCATTGAAAAACAAGGAACTCATGAAATATTATTCAAAATGGATGACCCTGGAGGACAGTATGCTGAGTGAAGTATCTCAATCACAAAAGGACAAATACTGCATAGAGCCACTGTTGTAAAACATGAAACGGATGAGAGAGAGAATCGTTTAAACGGTATATATGATTAGGTACTACTATTATGACATAAGTCTAAACCGAAGGCTGCATACTGAGTATGGACCAGGGAGGAGGGATTGTATAACAATTAAAAAATTTTTCTTTTACTTTTCAAAGAGAAGAACAAACTGGAGGGGACAGGTGGGCATGGAGAAAAGTGCAACAATGAACGAATGGAAATCCAAAATCTCTGGATTAAAATTAATAAATAATAATAATCGTATAGCCCTGGTGTACAAGTTGCTGTACAGCGGTAACTTGTGGTTGCTGTGAGGCTAAACACTGTGACACTGATGTGTCAAATGTGTTAATGGCTGGTTACCCAATGCAGACAGAGAGTGGGGTGAAACTCCCCGATTAAAACAAGCTTGGAAGGAGGAGTGGCATCCACTTCCGTAAGAGCTTGCCTCCGGAAACCCTATGACCCTGGAGAGAGGATGAGAGACACCCAAGTGTTGAAGATTCTCCTTCATAGGGTCACTATGAGTTGCCTTCGACTTGACAACAACAATAGTAAAACAAGGGAAGAAAAGAAAAATAGGTATAACAAAAACAAAACAATTAAGCAGTCATTTAATAATTAAATTTCCCTACTAAACTTGTTATGTGCCATCGAGTCATTTGCGACTCATAGCGACCCTATGTACAACAGCCCTAAACCATACTCTATCCTGTGCCAATCTCATTGCCTCTGACACACCCATCCCGAGTACCCCAGTCACTGAATCAATCCACCTCATAACTTTTTATATCAAAAAGTCTTACCAAGTCCTCAAGAAGCCCCAGGAGTGCAACATGCAACTTAAGGGGCTGGTAACAGAAAGGTTATCAGTTCAAATCTATCAGCTACTCCATAAAAGAGTGATGGACAGGATCCTCCTTTAAGATTTACACAGCCTCGGATACCCAAAAAAGGTAACTAGAACCAACTGTGTAGGGAAGTTGGTTTGGGGTTTACCCAACACCCAGCATAGTGAATGAAAATAGGCCCATGCCAAAGGTCTGGAACAGAGCTCTGGTGGTCTACTGAGTAGGTAGTTGTGCAGCCAAACCAAAGGCAGACAGTTCAAATCCACCAGCTGCTCCATGGAAGAAAAATGGGCAATCTCCTTCTGTAAAATTTATTATCTCTGAAAACTCTTTTTGGAGGGCCAGCTGTTAGTTCCAAATCTACAGTAATGAGTAATAACAGTCTGGAAATTTCAATACAATGGAGACAAACAGAAAATAGCACAGGAAAAAACCAAAACAGGTCGCACATTAAAGATCAATATCAGAATGGCCTCACACTTCTCAAAAGAGCACTGAAAGCTCAGAAATAATGCTTACAAAAGTTTAAAGATAAAATATTTCTAATCCAGAATTCAACACTACTAACAAAAATACAAAAAGTATGAACAGAATAAAATTCACAAGAGAATTTCATCCCACCAAAAACTAAGGGTATAAACCAGGCAAAAAGAGATGGAGCTCAGGAAGAAGAGATTTCCATATGAAAATATTGAGAAGAATCATCTCCCAATTAGGACAGTGAAGAGAGGGGATGTTATGTACTAGGTAGAAAGAGCAACAGTACAGATGAGAAAGCAAGAGATTACAGGCTTCTTTGAAAAGACGAAAACGAAAAATTTAAGAGTCTTGAACATCGTAAAACGATCTTAGGGGTTGATTCAGCAAAAAGTTCACAGAAAATTAAAAAAGTTAAAAAAAATAATTATTAATTCCAGAGAAAGCAAGTAATTAGGCAAATTTGGAAAATAATGGCAGAACATGTAGGGAATAATGGCAGTCAGTATTCTACACGTTCTGCCACTGATTGTATTTACAAAGTAATAATATAAACAATTATTTATCTACACAAAATTATAATTACCTTTAAATTAAATTTTCTTAAAATCTTGATAGATATTTATGGAGGCAAAAGTATTAAAAGAAAAAGCATAATAAAGTAAAAGTGGTTTCTCTAGGTAGGGGTAGAAATAGGTCTTGTTTTAATATTACTTTTTTTGGCTCTTACCAGGGTTTATTAAGTAAAATCAAACTTTTAATATAAACATTCTGTTTTTAAAGTAGTTGAGCTTTTTGTTGGGTTTTGGGTTTTTATTTCTTAAAAAAGAGGTAAGCCCAAAGAAGTTTGACTAGAGTCATCTCTTCTTAGGTTATAGAGATCTCTGGAAAAAATCACTCATTTGTCTCAACTTTTCAATGCTCATTTTATAGCTACCTTTGAAGGTAAAGGTAGAGAAATTTCTTCAACAATACTCTGTTCTTGGAAAAGTCTGTCTTCCTTTGTTGTCAGACACACTTTTTCCCTACTGCCAAAAGATGCCACTGCAGAGACATTCACTTACACAAATATCTAGGTCACTTGTTTTTATCTATAACTTTTCTCTTTAGTATCACTTACCTTTCCTAGAATCACCTAACAAACTTTTCTAAAAAGTTCTCCTCAGTATTCTGTCAACACCTTTACTCATCTCAAAATTCTGAAGACTCTTAATCTTTTATGTATCTCTATAAACTCATATGTAACTCTGATAAAATATTAAAGTAAAGAAATAATATCTGGTAATTAAACAGTCCCTTCTCTTCTGGGAAACCTCATCAAAACCTTTTCATTCCGAGCAAGAGCTAACTAGTTTCTCACGTGTTTACCATGCTAAGACGTTATTCTAGGCACTATAAATTATTTAACTTTCACAACTACCCTATGAGGTAGTAACGGCAGAGCCAAGAGTGAGTCCAGGCAATTCTAACTTGAGTCCTTTCATTCAATCCTTACAACTGAACGAACAGACACCACCATTAGAAGAAAAGATAAAATATAAATATAAAAGATAAAGATAGGAGAAAAGATTAAAATTGTCAATAACTTCATTTTAGCTGGAATCACAATTAACACTTTTGGTACTAGGAGTCCTTTTGAAAAGGCCTATTGGGAAAAAAAAAAGAAAGAAAAGGCCTCTTGCACTGGGAAAATCTGTCAAGAACTTCTTCAGAGTGCTAAAAAACAAAGATGTCAGTTTAAATACTAGGTGAGCCTGATCTAAGCACTGATATTTTCAATTGCTGCCTCTGTATCTGAAAGTTGGAAAAAGAATAAGGATGACCAAAGAACCTGTGCATTTGAACTACGGAGATGGCAAAGAATACTGAATATGCCATGGAATGCCAAAAGAGCAAATATATCTGTGTTGGACAACATGCAACCAGGGTGCTACTAAGAGATTAAGAATGGTGAAACATGACCTCACATACTTTGGGCATATTACCAGAAGATGCTAGTCCTTGGGGGGGAAAAAAAAGACATCATGCTGGGAAAGGCAGAGTGTCAGAGAAAGAGAGTAAGATCCTTCACAAGAAGGAATGACACAATGACTACATAAATGAGCTCAAGCAAGTCGTAGATCGTGAGGATAGTGCAAGACAGGACATGGTTCAGATCTGTTGCTCATAAGGTCACTGTAAGTCAAAGTTGATTTGATGACACATAAATCATCATTAAATGGCTTCTAATGATCTATACATGAAATGGAAGTTTTCAACAAAAGAAATCATTTTAGAAAAATTTTTAAAGAGTTAACTATTCCTCTCTCTACTGTATTCTTCTCACTAAACTTATGGTATATTCCACTATTTTTCAAATTTTTGTTCACAAGTACAAAATCTTTTTACAGCTTACAAACTGGAAGATGAAAAACTTTTCCCAACAATATTAAAATTACTCCTTCACCTAAGGCCTTGCAAGAATAATAAGCATGTAAATCAGGCTGATAATCATTCAAATAAAATAAAAAATCCTCAACTAAAAAATCTGCATTTGAGTTCTTTAAATATTTAAACTTAAAATTAAACAAGTTAGGTATTTCTCAACAAAAAAACACTGAAAATGTTTGCTTTTAATTTTTTTCATTGTTGCACATTTTCTCTATAAAGTACCCTTTGTTCCAGACTGTTGTCATACTAGTTTCTCTTGTTTTTAAGAAAAAACGTGTTGTTATTAAGTGCCACTGACTCAATGAACAACGGATCTGAACCTTGTTCTATCCTGTCCCATCTTCACCATCTCTGACATACTTGAGCACACTGTACAGTCAGTGTCAATCTACAGCTTTGGTTCAAGGATGACTAATTACAGTAAAATCATTCAAAGAAATACTGTATAGGTTTTGAAAGTGATAATATGAAAATAAAGTAGCACTGAAAAACTGCAATTTTAAATACAATTTCTACAGTGTTATACTATTTTTCAAAAATTTGTATTAAAAAAGATATGTTTTTATTGAAAAACCAGTATGTTTTGTAAATTTTCCCTCAAAATACACACCAAAATATTTAAAAATTACAGTAGTTGTACGAAGGTAGAATATGATCCATATACACTTTCAATTTGCCCTAAAATTTTCCAAAAGTTTAGAGAACAAAATTAACATTAAATAAGAAGTTAATATACTTTGAAAATTTTACAAAAAACAAAACTGCGATGACTGTGCAACTCTAACCTTTCTAAAAATGACCAGTAACTTTAGACTTAATTTCATAGCTTCAATGCAATTATTAAGGAAAAAAATTGTTGGGAGAAAAATCTCTTTCTGTACCCACATGAGAAAATTCAGGTTGAGATGGGACAAGAAGTGGCCCAGGCGTAAAGACTGGTGTGCTCTGAGATACTGGTGTTGAGGCTTGTGGTAACACAGAGGGCTCGGGCTGGTTTTCTATCTCTATTGGCTCATCACTGCTTTTCTTCTGACAAGGCTCTCCTTTCTCCTCAGGTAACACAGACATGTCCATTGGCTCATCTGGTTTAAAGCAGAAAAATAAATGATAAATGATCATTCGTCAGCATTACTCATATTCCAACACCACTGTAACAATCAATCACAGAAATTTCTGCTTCTAAAAAACCAGTAACTTAAAATATATATCTGTGATTTAACTTTTTGTAAAGCTAATGAAATATTGTTGTTGTTGTTATATGCCGTCAAGTAGCTTGCAACTCAGTGATCGCTAGCACTGAAACCTGCTCTATCCCATGCCAGCCTTCCTGTCTCTTGACACACATACCCTCATTACCCCATCACTGAATCAACCTATTTCATTAATGGGTCTTTCTCTTTTGCTGTCCCTCCACCCTTTCAATCATGATATCCCTCTCCTTGCAACGTGCCCAAAGTATGTCAAAGCCTCAGAATCCTTGCCTCCAAGGAACAGTCTGGTTTCACCCTCTCCAGGTTGTTCTCTTGGCAGTTCATGGTATATACAATACTCTTCTCCAGCATCACAGCTCAAAGGCATCAATTCTCTTTCCATCATCATTAGTCACTGACTGAATTTTAAAAATTCTTGGATGTACTGAGGAGGCACTCACTATTCCTGTAATATTTAAGTATCGATTTAAAATAGAGTTAACCTGGAGATATGCTTTACGTTAAAATAACTTGGCTTTTGTGTGTTCTAGGATAAACATATTTTGCTTGAGAATGCCAATATTCATGACATCTAATTCAACTATCATGTAGCTGTCACAGACCTTGAAAAGCAATGAGATGGATGCCAGGACAAATACAGAAGAAGGAAAAAAAGTCTAAAAATGTCAATCGGCACTGACTTCTCAAAAAACAAAAAAATACAAAACATTAGTTCTGAAACAGGAAGGGAAACAGTATACACTTCAATGTCACTATCTACCTGAGGCTAAAAGAGCCTTCCTCTCTGAGCCGGATATTTAAACAGATATCTGAACCATCAATCCTTTTTCCTTGATCTTATAAATTGACCCTAACTAAGCTACTGCTCCACTGCCCACACAGATTACCTACAATATTTAGTTGTTCTCCTATAAACCACATTCACGCTACAAGTCATCCTTATTCCTCTCTCCATTCTTTCTACCCCAGTACCTACCCTTCATATTCCAGTCTAATACTAGGTCTTTAGAGAGTTATACTAGAACTGATCTGGAAGTCTTTGTACTACAATAGCTGGGCTAAGCATTTTCATGCCACCTTTTACCTTTCTTACCATGACAAAGCATGGGCCAGCTGCATAATCTTTAATAATTTAGCTCAATAAAAATTAAGAACAAAAAACATAAATAAACCAAAAGAATACAGTCCTGCAAAAAATATGACATGAAGAAAAGCAAACTAGACAACAATATGTAACACAATCCCACTTCTGTAAAACTATTTTCTTATATTTACAGATAAAAAACATGTTGAAAGAAAAAAATATCCAAAAATTAATCTTAATTAGAACCGAATTGTGGCATCATGGGTGATTTTTGTTTCCTTTTCATTACTCTTCTATACTTTGCACCCTTCTAGAATATATTTCTATCAAGAAGGAAGTATTCTTAAATACTTAATCTTTTTTAAACATTTCTTAATATGTTCTTTTAAACTTAAATGTTTATCAAGAAGAAAGTATTCTTAAAAAAGAAAGCATTCTTAACAAAATTCTTATTATTTCTTCAATAATATACACTAGAAATAAAAGCAATGACTCTAATAAACTTGCATTAACAGGGTCTTTTATAGAATGCATTCATTTTCTTTTCTATTGCAGAAATGGGTTAGTCTCAAGCTAAGCATAACATGGCATTAAACATGTTATGCTTAACTTGAGAGTAGCCCATTTCAATACCTACAAATTATTTCAACAACAAGGCACAACCTTTATGGCAGAAGACAGTTAAGATTAAATTGTGCCATTAATAAATTACACATAAATACGTCCATAACTTATAGTTGAGAAATGTTTCTAGCCTGAGTTTCCTAATCTTTAAAATGGAAATAAAAAAGTAATACTTGGTTCTAGACGATTGTTGTTAGGCTTCAATGAGGAAAGATTAAGCACTCAGAATAGTGTCCTGCACACACTCGTGCTCAATAATGTACCATTAGTGGTATGTGGAAAAGAGAAAATCATTGAATTATAGTGTAAAAGATTTTGAAGGAAGATTCTGGAAATATTCTGAATAATCTAAGTAGAAGACCAGCGTTGAGTAAAAGAAGTTTTAATGATGAGATAAATTATCTTGAGGAAAAAGAAAAGCTCTCCTGTGAATAAAGTAATCTAAAAATCCCTAAATCCTCAAAGGGATTGAGGGAATAAAAATTTATATCACCTGATCCTAGCTCCTTTTTAGGAAAAACTGTTTGGATCACAGCAAAATTAAGTGATAAAAGATTCAAGACTACAATTTTTGGTTCTCTCACCAAAAGCATATTAATATGTTGTTAGAAAATGAGGGACCTTTAGCAACAAACCAGTTCTTTAAACACATCTGAGTTGACTTTCAAAAATATAAAAGCTAACAGTGAACTGGGAGAGGCGGAAAGGAGGGAGAGAGGGTAAACTGTGCAACACTGAATGAATGAAAATCTAATTTTTCTGCAAATTTTCCTTAATCATAATTAAAATAAAAATTTAAAAATTATTTAACAGCTAGCTGTCCCTTATGAATCTTTAAAAAAAACACAACCCTGATGTAACAATTTAGAATTTCCAGAGCAATCAATACTAGGGAAACAAAGACCTAAGCACAGCAGCTCACATCAGGTCACATCCCTAAAGGTGAGACAGACAAGAGTCCTAATGAATAGAGGAGGTCACAGAATATCGTACAAAAAAAACAGCGCATTTCACAAGGCAGAGACGTGCTACCCTTCTCCTACTCTGAGGTCAATAGATATGGATCAAGTGAGCTCACCTTTTCTCTCTCCTTGCTCTGTGGGGCTGCTAGGAACGATAAAAGGGGTAGATCGAAAAGCATCAGGGGAAGGAGCAACAAGATCTGAGGAATTCCTTTATATAAAGAGAGAATTACAGAGGTTATTTTATCAAAGTCAGTTTTGTGTTTCTGTATTTCTACTATTTAATAAAAAGCTCAAGTCATTCAGACAAATACTTATAGCATTTATACCAAAGAACTATCTGAGGCAGACAGAAAATTGATGACTACTCCAATAACCATTTCTCACACCGGATGGTCATGAAACAAGACTTTACAAAAAAAATAGTAAGGGCCAAAAAGTCAAGTAGTATGATTACATGTGAAAGTGAATGACCAGACACAGGACAGTACAATTAAAAAGCAGGATGGGCAAGTGCTAAAAAAACAAATTTATAATGAGACATAAGAAAGTATTTACTCCCGTTTAAGCCTATTATTAGTAAAACCACACATATTTCACAAAACAACAAAAAAATTGTCATTCACAGCTACTGTCAACTGTAAAAATCTATGCTGTTAAACTGGGAAAACTATTAATAAGATGAAGGTGCACAATGCTAAATAACTGAGCTACACTCATGAAACCTTTAGGATACTATTCTAAAACTTTCAAATAGGAAAGCAGAGAATCAGACTAAAAGGCCATTTTAGTTCTTTCAACCTGAGTCTAAGCCCATCAGCCATATGTGCCCTCAGCATAAGATTTACTTACGTAGAAAGACTCTCCTGAACAAGAGACTGCTGACCAGACAGCTGCAGGAGGTGCAAAGTAGTGGCAGGTGTAGAGGCCAGAGAACATCCACCTTCCTCCCTTGAAGGAGTTGAGCAACCATCAGAGATTACTGAAGAAGAAAAGAAATTCTAGTTACTGAAAAATTGGTATTGTGGTACTGGCGAAGAGCACTAAACGTTCCTTGGACTGCCAAGAGAACAACATATCTGTCTTAGAGGAAGTGTAACCAGAATGTATGCCTCAGAGGCAAGGATGGTGAAATATCTTGTATACTTCAGGCATGTGGTCAGAAAGCACTATTAGGAAAATATATGGTTGGAAAAGTAAATGGTTAGCAAAAAAAGAGGAAGACTCAAAATGAAATGGAATGACACAGTGACTGCGCCTGAACACAGAGGAAACAGGGAGGATACAGCATTAAAATAAAGCCACACTACCACAAATCTTGCAGGAATATTAAACATCCCTCTTTCATTAAATTATGAGTTTAATTAAAAAAAAGAAAAAGTATCTCTTTTTTTTTTAAGTTTAGAAAGGAAAAGCTTAATACCTCTATTTGTTCCTTCTTTCTGATGCTCTAGAAAATAGTCTTTTTACATTTTTTTTATTATTATTATTATTATTAATGTCAATGAACATCTAGAGAGATTTTGGAATTCCATTCATTCATTGTTGCACTTTTCTCCCCACCCACTCACCCCCACCCTAATTTTTTTATTAATTTTAATGAACGCTTACAGAGACTTTGGCTTTCATTTATTGTTGCATTTTTCTCCCTGCCCACCCCTCCCCCCCAATTGACTTTCTCTTTGAAAAGTAAAAGAAAAATTCTTTCATTATACAATCCCTCCCCCCAAGTCCACTCTACTGTGCAGCCTTCATTCTGGATTCTTGTCATGATAATAATACCTAATCATATAGCGCTTTTAAACAGTTCTCTAAAAAAAAAAACAAAAACCAATTCTCTCCTTCATCTGTTTCAATGCAATATACAGTATTTATTCCATCTTTCTCAGTCACCCCCCCCCCAACCGTATGTCAGTCCCGTTTTACAACAGTGGCACTATGAAGTATATGCCCTTTTGTGACTGAGCTATTTCACTCAGCATAATGACCTCCAGGGTCATCCATTTTGAATAATATTTCATTGTTTTTCAATGCCGCATAGTATTCCATTGTATGAATTTATCACAGATTCTCTACTCATTCGTTTGTTGATGGGCACCTAGGTTGTTTCCAACTCTTTGCTATTGTGAACAAAACCCCAATAAACATGGGTGTGCATTGGAAAATTGTTGTTGTTATGTGCCGTCAAGTCGTTTGCAGCATTAGAAAATAGTCTTTTATAATTACAGAGTTCAACCTAACATGAAATTCAGAGCTCTGGTGGCTTAGTGGTGAGGAGCTGCACCACCAACCCAAAGAGACAAGGTTTGAATCCACCAGCAGATCTGCGGGAGAAAGAAAATCTCCTGTGCAATTTATTGCCTCTGAAAACTCACTGAAGGGTCAGCTCTGAGTCAGTTCTGACTCTACAGTACAGAATAACCACCTAATATGAAATAAAATTCATACTATAATGCATATGCCACTGATGATCTCAGTATGACAATTTTCCTACAATCAGAACTTCAGCCTTCACAAAACAAACAGAAAACACCCCTGCATTAAGAAGACATATGAGCAGTCATTTCCTGATGCATACTATTTAGAGTCTCCTGTTGGTTCCTTCTCATTAGCAACAGATAAAATATGAACTGTATTAATCTCAAATGTGTAGGAATTTTTTATAGTTTCTTGGTCAACATCTTTAATAGAAATCTGCAATATAATAATGGAATATAACCTACCATTTCTTTCTTACAATCAAAACACTGTATTTCACTGCCTACTACTGTCATTTTCTCACTCTGAGATAGGGGACTCGAGAGGCAAATTAAGTATGAAATATGCCACTATGGTCATATAATTTTTCTGTCATGTTTCTAGATTTTAACTTCCCATTTCTGGTAAATTAAGTAATAAACACATGAGAAAGTACACTGTTATGCAGTTGAATATGAAAAATTTAAGTTATCATATGTTTTAATAATCAAAGACTTAGTAAACATGTAATGGCAGAAACAATGGCTATTCTGTCCACAGTACTGTTTACTATAGTATCTCCATTTCCAAAAGAGAATTATGTGAGAATACGAAATAACAATTATTCCCAAAGAGTCTTTTCCATTACTTAGCTAGAAATCTATTTTCCTTCCATACTGAACGCATTTTCTAACATAAACATTATCCTAAGAAATAATCAAAGTTTGACTAGTGGGAGTTCACCTTTAACAACTTTTCACACTTTGTACCTGTTTTATTGCTCTGGTCAAACAAGTCTTCCTGAGTTGACAAAATCTCAGGCTCTGGTGATTTATGAATCTGTGGTTCACCTTTGAGAAGCTCCCGAGCAGGAATCTCTTCTCTTGCTTCCACAGTAGCCAAAGATACTTTGGGATGAAGAGGCATGTCCTCTGGCCTAGGAAATTTGTATTACCAAGTCAAAAAGTTGCTAAGTTTAAATGTTTTCATCTTTTAACTAAAAGTCATTTTCTGCTTTAATAATTTAAAAAATCCTAGTCTACTTAATAATCTTCTTAACCACCTATTCAAAGTAAAAGTTATGCTCTGTGTCAACTCTTAGTCCAAAACCGTCAAGGGTTGTTTCAGTTTCTCACACAGCAGTATCTCAATTCAGCTCACTACTATGTCACAAGCTTTTCAAGACTTCAGTTAGTGATTTAGAGGATTTTTGTTACACATGCTTTATGGAGGCCTCTCTAAAGGCTTTTGGCCCTAACTATAGCAACATAATGAGAGCAATCCTCCTATTATACCTGGATGTGAATTATCCCCCGTGTTACTGCTACATACATTATCTTCTGCTTATTTTCTTTTCTTTTCTTTTTTTTTTTAAATATTTTTTTATTGGGAAAAACATACTGGGGGTACAAGGAGGTGAGGGTTGGGGCAGAAGGGTGAGGATGGGCCAGGATGCAGTTGCAGAGCTGCACAGTTTGGTCGGTGGGGGGAGTAGGTGAAGGAAATTATGAGGGTCCAGTGGGGACCAGATGCTACAGAGGAATGACAAGCATTTTCCAATAGTAATTAAACCAACTGTCTTATTGATTTGGGAATTGGATGCCGACTCTCTGGCTTCTTCATGCTGAACAGGGGTGTAGATATAAAGGGGGGAAGGGAGGACGCTTTATCATCTTACTGGTGGTCTTGGGTTACAGCTGCTTGCCTTCTTGCTCTGTTAGAAGATATTTTCCTGTCATTTGCTCCCTATTATCTTCTGCTTATTTTCTTATTTCATTGACACCCACCCCCAAGACTATGTTAAGATGGTCATTTCTGCCTTCCCAGAGTTAAGTGGTTCTCTTATTCTACCATTCCCCAGAACAGCAAAACTGACTAGAACATAAGGTGTCAAAGAAACCAGTCCCAAATGTTAATCACTCAGTTGAGTGTTTTCCAATACAAAGGCACTGTCTCTTGATTTTTTTTCAGAAATCGCTATTTCTACTGAAGAAAACAAAAAGTAAGCCTATTTATCCATTTCTCTCTCCAAATTAGAATCATCTCATTTTTCCTGTCACATTCAAACTTCAGCTGTTGGCTAAAGCCAATCCTATTAGATCTGTTTTCAATAAAATAATCACCACAGACAGAGAGCCAAAGCATACTTTGGAAATCCTACCAAGTTAAAAACCTGAAAGACTTGGGATAAAAATGAATCCCTGGATCTCACAGTAATGTGAATGTTCCTCAAGTAGTTAACCAATTAGCACTCAAATACAGTATTCTTGTGATTCCTCATAACATCAAGAGGAGTGGCAACCAAACATTAACATCAGCAAGAAAGGGGGGGGGGGGGGAATCAGCAAGAAAAAGACTTAGTAATGTATCTAAAGGTAAGGTGAGGACATTTAAAATTAATAACCAATGCTTCTACTGGATTTAGGTATTCCCAATATTTTTTTAAAAATGTATAATTTTTTATAGCAAAACTAAAATTTATACTATTAGACAAGAAAGTAGTAAGTAACTTCTAGAAAAAACATGGCTTACCTTGCAAGTGATGAATTTTTCTCTTCTACTACATGTGTATCCTTACTGGGCTCTCCTACAATGGGAACATCCATGTTGGGTGATTCTGCCATGGAGATATCTTCAGTGGTCTGTTCTCCATGTTTAGTTGCTTAAAGTTTTAGAAAAAGACAGGAGGAAATAATTTTCAAAGCATTAAAAGCTTTTTAAAAGTGATAAGAGTATAGCAGAAAGAAGTCAAATTTGAAATGTATAAAAACATTATCCCAAAAAGGAAACAGCTTATTTCTGAAAAAGATTCAAATTGCAATTGCAGATTACAGATGACTCAGCAGCTAGTGCTGCACACTTAGTATATTAATTTTAGTTATAGACATTAGTTACAAACTTATTGAGGGAAAAATAATTAGCTCTAATAAGGAAATGAAACATTTAAAATAACTAAAAAAACCACAACTCCAAATATCATAACACATGTTCCATACCAATGGTAGTAGCATCCACATGAGACAGCTTTGTATAACCAGAGTCAATAGTTGCTGACTGTACGGGCTCTTTGTCCACTTCCAAGGGCACAGTATGCTCCACAAGATCCTGGCTCTGGGAGAGCTCTAAAACTCCAAAGCCCAACTGCGATGAGGCAGGATCTAGAACCAAAACCTCAAGAAATTGGGTTTCATTCCACAACAGTATGCACTATCTACACTGCTATCCTATGAATAAGAGCCCTGTTAAGTCATAAGATTTTTCAAAAGACGATAAAAAAATCAAAGCATTTCAACTAAAGTAGAAAAATGTTTAAGCAAAAAACTGTTTTATTAAAACCTTACTTCACATTAAGATATATGCACACACATAGCAATTCAGACTATATTTCTACCCAATAAAGCATTATCTCTTCAAAATCTTTTAAAGATGAATACAGGAAAAAGTCAACATGCAGAAAAGGGATTACCCAATGAGTTACAAATTCCTAAACAAATCTGGTGAAATACTAACCCAGTTTCTGAATAACTACTCTCTCTGGTTGCTAACTGATAAGGAATTATGCTGCCAACCCAAAAGCAAACAGTTCGAATTCACCAGTTGCTCCCTGGAAAAAAGATGAGCAATCTCCTCCCATCTGATTTAGAGCCTCTGAAAACCTAATCAAGTTTAGCTATGAATCAATTTCGACACAATGGCACACAAGAACAAACAACAAAAAAAAAAATCTATAAACTATACAAAATAGTAGGTCTGTTGTTCAAAATTGCTTCCTAAGCCACAGTTCTTAACTTTGCCACATGGCTTAGTGGGAACATTCAAATACAGTGTATTAGTCTATCCACAGATAGATTAGGAACCTCTAGTGCCTTAGTGGCAAGATGTTGCCTACCTACACAAAGGCATTTGAACTCAAAGGTTCAAAGTCACCAGCTGCTCCACAGGGGAAAGATGGGCAATCTCCTCCCATGCAATTAGCTACCTCTAAAAATCCACAGAGGTCAGGTAGGAGTCAGTACTGACTCAATGGTCCATAAAAACAACATAATTTAATCACAAACAGTTTAGCTAGTTTCACCTTTCCATCAAGTTTAAATGAACAGGTTCTGCAGTAGAAATATAGGAATCTTATTATAGCAAGTAAGAAGCAGAGAATGCAGTGTGTGTCATTTGAGGCAATAGATTCCTATGCCAGTCAAACCAGGACCTACAGGATGGTACCAACAGCTGCAGCAAAGAACTAGAGACACAACATGAGACAGAGCTGACCTGGGGACTCTTGCTTACAGAGCCAGAGCATAACTAGCAAGACTGAGAGAACTTTCTAACATTGGCCTAAAGGCTCAAGGGTGAAGGATGAAATGTCTATGAACATGCTTCAAAAGTAGTCTTGCTGTAACCTGTTAACCTCCCTAATAAATTCCATAATCATGAGTACTCCTCCGTGAGATATGTATAGCTTTTGCAATGGATTTCGGACCCAGCAGCACAGTAGGATTAGTGTTGAAATTAGTAGAAGTAGATGCAGGAGTAAAGGTCATATCTGACCTCATGGGAATTTGTTCTGTGTTGGGGATGTTGCTGATGAAGGCAATTACTCCTTGTGGAGCTAATACAGGTCAGACACAGGTGGAATGGCACTGTTCTCGCTCTTTTTACAAACTTGAAAAATAAGGAAAATTTAGACATCTACATTCTCATGCTAAAAGAACTTAGAACAATTTGCTATCTTGAAAAAGGCATAAAGCTACCTTCTTCCCCTATGGACTGCGAGGTACCATCTGGAGTATCTTCTTCTTTCTCTTCTTTTTCCTTCTCTTCCACCTTTTCTTCTTCTTTCTCTTCCCCTACAGATTCAGGTTCCACTGATCTTCCCAGAACACTATACAGTAAAAGGACAGTCATGTGTTTCACATAGATCAAAATACTTTGTTCAAAGTACTCTCTGAAATTTATTTTTACTTCCCACTATAATCACTTAATAGCCAAACTGGGAAAAGTGTAAAAGAAAAAAAAATTCTCACTCTTTCAGTGTTTCTTTCCAAAGAAGAAAGCTAACAAGTTAACAAACCATTAACACAAATATTAAACAGAAGAAAGGCACAAAGGTATACTAATTTTATATTTTCCTAGAAAGATACGAGCAGGAATAGAAAAATCCTGCATTCAAATAGAATGACAAATAACAAGAAGAATATCTCAATTATATGAGCAAGGAAGAGCACAACTGAAATCAGACTAAGTTCACAAAAATATTTTAGAAGCAAATCTTAAGAATATAGACATAAAACCAAAGTATAAGAATAGTCAAGTAAGAGATCTATTAATTAAAAGAATTTAATACTACAGCTCAAAAAGCATGATTAACAATATTGTAAGTCAATTAAATAGGAAAACTCATCTACAATTAAGTGTAACAGAAGATCAGTCTCCATAGAATAAAATAAAAAAACTAATGGAAAAAATTAACATACAGATAAACAAATGACAAACTACTCATAAAAGAAATGTAGGTAGTCCTGAACTCACAACACACTCCAGTTGTGATGACCACCAAAGATCATTTACTTTTTTTTGTGTACCTTATTTGTTGTTACTGTTGAATGCCTTCAAGTCAAGCATAACTCATAGCAACCCTATGAAGAAACAGCCTGAAGCCCCTCTACAACTATGGATATTTATCAAAGTTCACAGAGTTTCAGAGGCATGTTTTTTAAGAAGTGGATGCCACTCCTGCTTCCAAATATATATATGTATATATATATATATATGAAAATAAAAAAACCACAAAATGTTATAACACATAATTTATATAATGTTATAATTTATATATATAAAAAACACAAAATGTTATAATACATAATTTCCTAATGTTGTAATTCTCAGATGTTCATTTGTAGATGTTCAGTTTTTTTGTATTCTGTCATGAAGTAGGCAATAATGAAACACACAAAAAATATGTATTCACTTCACATCGGAACAGGTTTACTATGGAGTCATCAGAACAGAACACTGTCATAAGGTGAGGACTACTTGTACTGTACAATCATTTTTAAGCATGTGATCAGAGAAGCCTTTTCCAAAAATATTGGAAAAATTTTTAAACTGTATTACTTATTCAGTACTGACCAAGCTAAGTTAAGATAAGCATTATCTATCATATGCTGTTAAAAGACTAGTTTAATGTATCATTTTCTGGAACCATGAATTAAGAGCTTTCAAAAATGTGCAGACCTATAAGGAGCACTGATGATGGTTAAGAAGTTATTACAATATCCCAAAAATGTGCAGACCAGTAACTCTAGAATGTTAAAACTTAATTTGAAGTGTGAAAAGATCCTTACACAAACTTATTTCTCTAAGTTTACTCTTACTGAGATTCTATAAATTTAAAAAAAAAAAGAATCTATAAATTCAGTATTAGGGAAATGGTTAAACAATTTTCATAAGTCATAAATTGAAAACTTAAAGCTATTAAATATGTTTGAAACATCCAAATGTGTAAACTCTGATTAGATTCTGAATTAACTCATAGAGATATATAAAAGACAATTCTGAAATAATTGAGAAAAGTTGAATAGAAATTGTATTATAAATTATGGAACTTTCAGCATTCTCGTTGCTCCTGCTGCAGGCCCTGCCGCCGTGGAGGCCACCATGGCGACTAGACTCACAGCCTTCCTCAAGAATGCCTGGGCCAAGGAGCTGGTGCTGGTCAAGTCCTTCACCATCGCAGGTCTTGCTGTAATTCTGCCCTCATTAAGCCCCTACACCAAGTATGCCTCCATGATCAACGAGATCACCCCCTGCAGCTACCCAGTGCCCCTCCAAGATGATGGGAACATGCCCTGGCGTGCCCAGCCACCCCCAGGACCCCCTGGGTCCCAGGCTGAAGTGGCTGAAGAAACTGTGAGCCCCTCAGAGGATACCCCCCACCCCCCCAGCCACCAATAAAAACCTGAAAACAAAAAAACAAAAAAATTATGGAATTTTTTTCCAGAGTTATGAAAATAGTAATATGATCACACACGATACAATGTTACTTACTATTACGGGATATCAAGGAAAAACACTGAAGATATTAAGCAAAAAGATATGCACATAAATATTTACTTTCCACATGATGTCAAAGACAAAAATTAAATTTATGAAGAGGGAAAATATAAAAAAAATATTTATAGCAATTGGCCTCTAGGTGGCAGAATTATAGATGATACTATTTTCTTCACAATTTTCTACATATTGACTTTTACAGAAAAAACATATACATCATTTTAATAAGCATGAAAGGTAAAAACATAAATTTAGACAAGGGCTAGTGATCTAAGGAAAAGAAAAACAATCAAGGAAAAGTTTGAGCAAAAATAAAATATACTAGAACAAGTAAAACAAAATATAAAAACTGTAAAAGCATGAAACTACACACCTGGGACATTTTCTCAGTTTCTTATGGTTCCTCATGTCCCTGATCTTTAAATGGAGTCCACTGAATCTTGGGCCACTTACTTCTCCAGTTACACTCAATGCTGGCCCCTCACTGTAATTTTATTCAAACTCATGGCTATCCATCCATATGCATACAACTCTGCAAGTTAAAATATCCAGCCTGATCTGAGTCCCTAGTTTCCAAATCCAACTTTATCTCCCCAACATCTCTACTTTACCTTCCTAAAGGCTCATTTCAATATGTCTAAAAGTGAATTTCACTTCTAGCAGTTTTCTCCATTAACAGCAATTTCTTTCTTCTACTTGTTCAATCAGAAATCTAGAATTCTTGTTACTTGCTTTTTTCCTCTTGTACTCCACATGTGATCCATCATTTAATCCTATTTTCAAAATATATCTAGAATCCAACCAATCCTTCTCAACTTTAGTCTAGCAACTATCTTATTTTATCCAAATTATTTCAATAGCCTCCCTCCTACTAGTCTTCCTTTTTCTCCCTTAACCCCTCTTCTTCAGTTTATTCTCAGTATAGCAGCCATATATATAACAGTATATAATCTTGTTAAAATCTAAGTTAAATTATGTCATTCTTCTGTTCAAAAATCTTCAAATACATTCCTATCATATGAAATGAGACTAAGGGTAAAAGACTTCTCTGACATCGCCCACTCTCACTCTACTTCAGCCATATTAACCTCCAGTCAAACTACTTCTCTAATATTAATTTCAAGCACACTCTTCACTCAGGACTGCTGCACTGTGGCTCCCTATACATGAATGAACTTACCCTAAATAACTGCAAAGTTATTTTTTAACATCCAATTTTCTTTTTAATCAAATATATCCATAAAGCATTCCCTAACCACCCTAACCAAACCCGAACTCCTTTGTATTATTAGAGTGCTCCTTAGGGACAAGGATGATGAATTTTGTCTCACATGCTTTGGGTATGCTCTCAGAAGGGGGTTAATCATTAGAAAATGACATCATGCTGGGAAAGGTAGGGGTTGTGAGGAAGACCCTCAGCAAGGTGGGCTGACACACTGATTGTAACACTAGATTCAAGTATATTAGAGATGATGAGAATGTTGCATGATGGAGTTAGGGTGTGACTTGTTTTTCATATGGTAGCTATAAGTCACAGTCAACTCCATGGCATCTAACAACATTTTCTTCTCGTCTTTCTTTGTCTTTAAAACCTGCTGTTCTCTAACTTTTTTTTAAAGTATTCATCATGCATTGCTGTATCCCCCTAAATAATGTAAGGAAGTTCCATTATAAGTTAGAACTTTCATCTCTTCTTGATCACTATTTATCCCAAAGAGAGCTTGGCACATGTTAAGTATGCAATAAATATTTACAGCAGCTAAATAAGAAATCCTATTATAGGCAACTGCCTAAACTGATGATAAATAAAGGCTTAAATGTGTTATTTAGAGGTACAAAAGTAGACAGAAAAATAAATGTTAACACAAACAGGAAAAGCATTAACGTAACCAAGTGAACATTTCGCCTTCCATTGCCAGAAGTCAACTATCAATCTGAAAAAACAAGAAAAAGTATTACAATACTACTATTTAGTTTTCCAACTGTACTAGAACTAAGGAGATAACCTTGCAAAGCAGCAAAATTCCAAACACTTAAAGGGAACTGTGGAAAGAAAGTCTCTGTTTTCATCGTAACCTCTTTTTAAAAGTATTAAAATTTTATTATGCTGTTAATATTACTATATTTATACCATGCTATTTAATAGATGAAATAAAAAATAAGCATTTACTCTATGAAGAGGATAAAAAAAACCCAAGCTTTAAAATAAGAAAAAAATACCTGCAAACCATGAATGCAATAAAGGATTGGTATATAGAACAGAGATAAAGAAGTCTTAAATACCAGTAAATGCCAATCCACTTAGAAAATGGGCAAGGAACAAAGCATTTCACTAAAGAAGATACAAAATTCAAAAAAGCACATGAAAGTTATTCATTATTAAGTCTCCATGGAAACACAAAATAACAATAAAATGTGGTACCAGTATACAACTACCAGAATGGCTAAAACTAAAAAATAGTGACACTACAAATGATGACAAGGATGAAGAGAAATTGAATTATTATCATTTTGCTAATGAGACTTTAGAATCATATAGTCACTCTGGAAGTTTGCCCATTTCTTAAGAAAACTAAACATGCAATTAACATATAGCAGAGTAATTGCACTCCTTGTGCATTTATCCTACAGAAATGAAAACTTATGTTCATACTAAAACCTTTATAATTCTATTTGGAATAACCAAACCAGGATCAGTTCAAATTTCTTTCAACAGGTAAATAATTAACACACTGCATATTTATAGCATGGAAAATAATCAGCAATAAAAAGAAACTAACTACTGATCAAATTAGGAAGCTCTGGTTGTGAAGTCCATAGTTGTGCTGCTAACAAAAGTATGGCACCTCTCTGGTGATACGAATCCAACAGTGGCTCCTCAGGAAAGAGATGGGAAATCTCCTATTTTATACCCTCTGGAAATCTTCTGGATGGTCAGTTATGATGGCACTGAGAGACTGACCAAATCACCCAAGGATTATGCTGAGTGACAAAAAAGGCAACTTTGGAATGACAAAAGTTTGCAAACAGATGACAGACTAGTGGTTTCCAGGTTTTGAGTGTTAGAAAGACAGACGGATATAATTACCAAAAAATATTAGGTATTCTGGTGGTGTTGAGACTGCAACATCTAGACTGTAAGTGGTATACATATAAATCTACAATGGTAATAAAACTGCATAACACATAACATACACAAACACAAATACAAATAGTACTGGGCAAGTCTGTGTAAGATTAGTGGATTGGATTGGTATAAACAATTAGTATCAAGAACCTGCTAGAGATCTTACACTTAGTTTTATGAATCATTACCACTGGGAAAAACTGGCCATTGTACAAATAAAGGCTGTATTATTTCTCACAGCTGTTTATGAACATACAACTATCTCAATTAAAAAATGTTAAATAGCGAAAAAATATGCCTTTCTTAAGCATTATTTCTGAGAGAGTCCACATACTAAGACCATCAGGTTTCTATCCATACATCATCAGAGAAAGCAGGAAGATTTTAGGAATTTCATGAAGTATAAAGTTTCATACACTTAATAGTTTTCTGAAAATATATGTATTAATAAGACAGACATAAAAAGAAGATGGAAATCCTGGGTAAATTAATATATACGTATTTTTTTAAAGCTTTCATTTGTTTGGAATCAACATAAATTCTCTCCACTTTCAAGTTCACTGATCATATAGTTCCTTCTGTCTAGAAATGCCTCCTTTCATGCCCCTCACTTCTCTCCAAATCAACAATTCCTAATTAACTCATATTTAGCATTTGGACTGCATCCCCAAAGAAGCTTTCCTTGATCCTCAGATCATATATTAGCACACTATTCTATTTTTTTCTTCATTGCAATGATGACAAGTATAATCAAAGAACTATTTATGTATATGCTTAAAATATATCTCCCTATTAACTCAGAGGGAGCTCAAATAAGGTAGTTCCCAGAAAATTGCACTGCTAACCCAAAGGCTGCCAGTTTCTGGTGGTTCAAATTCACCAGGAGGTCCACAAGACAAAGAGAAGCAGTCAGTCTTATTATGATCCTCTTGTTATGATTTACAGCCTCAGAAATTCAATAGATGTTCACTATGAGTTGGAAATGCTCAATGGCAGAGTTTAAGTTAATTAAGTTATAAACTGTGACAACAAAGTCCCCTTCTAGTAGCTGCTGTTGAGTCAATTCTGACTCAGAATAACCCTATGGTACAGACTAGAATTGCCTCGGAGGATTTCTAAGGGTTTAATCTTTAGAAGCAGAGCTGCCTGTGAGCTTAAACCACTAACCTTTTGGTTAGTAGTAAAGCACTTAACTACATAATAGAGCCTATAGTGAATGTAATCATTTAATTTTTTATTGTTCTCTAACAGCAAGCTATTAATAGCACATTGCTGGCAGAAAGAAAAAAGTAGAATGGAACTTTTAAAACATTACTGTGTCATTCATACTGCAAGGTATGCCTATTTCCCATTTATCACTCAAAGCAGGGTAGTAAGCCACACATAAACCCAGATAAACCTGTCACTTATTCCTAAAGAAAGATCACACATAAATGTAAACATTTACAGAAACAAAGCAAGATAATGTAGATAAGTAAAGCAGCTAGAGGTAGTAACAAAAGCATAAACAATAATAAATAATCCTCAACTTCAGTATCTAAATACAAAGGTGCACTGCAGAAACTGACAAACTAGAACACTCATGAAGAATACCTAAAACTTAAAACTCACTCCAACCAACTGTTGCCTCTAAAAATCAGTAATAACAAAACTAATCCATATAGTGCAGAGATAATATTCTACACTCTTGTGTGGACCAAACAGAACCCACTTGCAGGCCAAAATATAGATTACTTTATATTCATTTTTCTTAAAGATTTGGAAAAAACAATTATATTAAAATAGATACTAAGTACAGAATGCAAAATAAATGAGGACAAAACCCCACATATTTATTTCAGATAAAATAAGTCTTTAACCAATTCAAGCCAATATTCTCCTGACTACCTCCCTGTGCACTCCCAAGATCCTGAAGCTATCTGTGGTCACCTTTGACAATGTGAACAGTGACAGAATTTGACAACTGTTCAAAAATTGACAATTCGAAATTAACAATTTAAGAATGTGAACAGAAGACTTTGAGAAGCACTAGGTAATAAAAAAAAGAAATAGGCATTTAAGTCAGAAAACCCAAGTACAAAGCCTGGCTGTGTTACTTACTCACAATATATTCCAGAGTCCATCAGTCTGCTTGCTCTATGTAATAAGCAAGTGACATTAAGCTGATTTCTATTTATGAAGATCATATGTGTGTCAGAGTAGAACTGTGTTCCATGGGGTTTTCAGTGACTGATTTCCCAGAAGTAGTTAGCCAGACCTTTCTTCTTAGGCACCTCTGCACTGACCTACACTTTCATATTTTGAGTAACAGCCAAGTGCATTTACTGTCTATACTTCCCAAAGACTTCTCCTTCTATGAAAACAATACAATGTTTTAAATTTATAGTGGCTTTAAGAATGGAACTGTTGTTAGATGCCGCTGTTAATTCAAACTACAACTCACAGTGACCCTATGATCAACAAATGTGAAATTGGCCTTATCCTGTGCCAAGAATGACAGCATGCTCAAGCCCACTTTTATGTCACTTTATCAATCCACCTCAGTGAGGGTCATCCTTTCACTAACCTTCTCTTTCCCAGCATGATGTGTTTTTCCAAGAACTGGTGCCTCCTGATAGCAAGCCCAAAGTATATGAGATGAAGTTTCATCACCTTTGCCTCTAAAAAAGCACCCTGGCTGCACAATACAAGTCAACCGTCCACTATGGTATAAAGCAATGGATAAACTAAAAAAGTGGACACTGTAAAATTACAGCCTAAAAATCAACTTCATTGCCACTAAGATGATGCCAATTCATAATAACTTTAGAGAACAAAGTAAAACTATCTCACAGGATTTCCAAGGTTAAAAAGTTTTCATGAATGCCCACATGTTTGTGCTGTGGAATGGATGGTGGGGTCAAACCAGGAACCTTCTTATTAGCAGTCAAGCTCTTAACCACTGCACTAACAGGGCATAAGACAATGTAGAATTTAGTGTACAAATTTGACAATCTGGATCCCAAACTAATGAAGTATGGTATGTAGAAAGCAAAGTCTAACAATACTTGCGCATACTTGATTTCAATAAAACCATAAATAAACTCCAGCAATACTCAAAAGGGCAAAATGTGACCAAAAAGTTTTGTTCAGGAATCTAATACACTGGCATCAAACAGTACCAAAAATAAAGTCACTTAGCTATGTTAAGAATAATGGATAACTATTTTCTTTCACAATGAAAACACAATTTGAATGTAGCTGGAAAAAAATCTTCACAAAAAATACTGGTATTAATTAGTATTAATAATAAAATCTAACACAATCTTCAAACCCCACCCTTAATCCACAAATTTAAACTACCTTTATCTTTGATATGAGGCAACAGGTATAGATAAAAGACAAACTGATAATACAGTCCTTTAAAAGTTAGAATACCTGCATGTCTTGTTTGGCTGAGGCAACTGTTCAATGACCTGGCTAACAGAACCACTTGTATCCAGATGAGAAGAATCCAGAGGCTCTGGAAAAAAAAAAAATATATTAAAAATGGGGTATTCATTCACATTCACACACACACACACACACACACACACACACACTCTTAACCAAAACTTTAACACAAATTCAGGATTCCAGATAATCCCAATATAATCAGTGACATTAAAGTATCGATCTTATGAATACCTACCATGCACCAGATATCAGACTTCCTTGCATTTAGTCACTACAATCACACTCAGCTCAAACAAGAGCACTTGAAAACAAAAAAGACACGGATTATTTTAAACACCTCACCTGCAGTCTTGCTTTCTTTCAAATGTTCATTGAAGCCACTATTACTTTCTCCTTGTTCTTCCCCAGCTGTCTGTCCAGGATTGGACAAAACATCCTATAAAGAAAATAAATATATATAATATATAGAATCTCTACTATGTATTAAATCCCAAATGAGGCAAGAATGGGTTGATTTTTCTTTTTCCAATCACCTTTAACCAAAAGATATTTATCTCCTAAATACTTAGGTTTGCTGGTTATTCTAGATTTTTAAAGTAAGAGGAAATCTGCTCAATTCTTTCCAAACAAGCCACCACTCACCAATACAGGGTTCTCTTTGTGTGACTGTAGATTGGGAAGGTGTCTAGATAGCACGCTGAAGTGAGAACCAGAATCATCGTCTAGAACCTGGTTTTCAGGCTGAGAATCTTCAATTATCAAGCAAGGGGTATCTTGCTGAGAGAAATCTGAATCCAAATGACTTCCAGTAGGGTCCATCTGCTCCCCTGGAATTGAATAACAAAAGATCAGTACAGAGTAACCTAGGAGCCTTCCTCACGTTTAAATAACGGGGCGGAAGTGAAAGACCTAGGAAAAGGGACAAGTCCTAGGCCCCTCCAATTAAAATATTAAATATAATCCCTGCGAGCAATTTCTCACCAAACCTCACAAGCTCCTATTTCCTCGTCACTTAACACTCAACCAGAATATCGGTTCTTCCCTCTTCTTTTCCATCATCTCCGCGCAGACACCCCTTCCCCTCCTTTCTAACCTCTTCTCTCCCCGCCCCTTTTTCCAACCCCCACCACTTGTCCTTTGGCAGCTTCTCTCATCCTCCAAAAAGCTGTTTTATAATTGCAGTTCTTCAGAATCCCCATAGCCCTTCAAGATTCCTCACGACCACCAGCCTTCCTAGCTCCGGTTTCTCCACTCCCGTCTCAGGTCCTTCCAACCCCTTCCCCGTCACCGCCGCCATGCTTGCCACCCCGCCCCCTCTGGTCAGCTATCCCTTTGGGCACGAAACTCAAGCCCTCAAAGCAGACTTTGTCCCTACTTTCTACCAAGCAGTACCAGGCATCCCGGTGGGAGGTCCCTCGTACTCGAACGAGAGGTCTCAGCACGTTCCCCAGGTCCCTCCAGCTCGCTCCCCAGGTCGCCTCTGTCTCTACCGCCGCCACCGGCCACGAACTCCCCCTTTTCCCGTCACGTCACTCAGAATCGGATCGATCATTCGCTCCTGCTACCCGCCACTCAAGGAATTCTGTGTATGATAGGTGATTGTAGCTAAATGCCCCGCCCCACGCTAGAAAAAGGAACACGGCGGCGCGTTTCCATGGCAGCATGGACGTTGCAGGCCCTCCCCCCTAGTAAAACCGGAGAATGACAATATCCTTGAACCTAAGAGACCTTGAAAGGGTGTGAAATAGATTCTTCTACCTCCATGAGTGACTGTACCTACCACTGCTCAGATATATGAGACTCCCTTTTTATCGTTCGTGCACTTAAAGCCTCTTCTCTCATCCCTGCCATACAAAAAAAGAGGAGGTTCTAACTTTCTAATAAAAAGGTCAAAAAGATCATCTAGGCCAATACTTCAGAGTTGGAAAAACTTAAAGGACAAGGGACTCTCTGCAACTTACCTTTGTCAATCAGTATCCCTTTTGTGTACCTTTACCTAAATCCACGGGCCTCACGTTGCATCTCTTCCAATTTTTGGATTTTGGTTGGTTGGGTTTGTTTTGTGTGTTGTTTCTCTTTTGTTTTTTTTATGTTATCCAAGGGCCCCATATTACCTTCTATTATTCTTTTTATCCATTCTGGAAAATATTTCATGGGCTTAGCCTTTTATGAGATTGCAGCCCATGGAGACTGCAGCCTTAGATGTTTTGCATCTTCCTTTGAGAGAACTGAGCACGGGGATTCTCACAACATGTGGTGAGGAGAACAGCTGCTCCTGCATCTAACTAAACAATCCTTCCAAACGCTTGAGATTCTACTATCAGAATAATAGTGAAGGCGTGTCTTTACAGAGATTGTCTGAGATTGTAGCCCCTGTAACAGATATTGATGAACTAGGAAACCTATTGTTTTCAGGTGCCCTTAGGTCAACTACTGCTGATATGAAAACATATGTTTCCTATGAAAACAGATAGAAATCTTGCCCTATACTGTGTCATCTTCAAAATCTCTGCTATGCTCAAATCCATTGTTGTAGTCTCTGTGTCAATCCATTTTGTTGAAGATCTTCCTCTCTTTTGCTGACCCTCTTGTATGATGTATGTTTCCAAGGACTGGCAACTCTTCACAACATGCCCAAAGATTGTGAGATGATGTTTCACTACCCTTGCCGCTAAGGAGCACTCTGGTTGTATTTACTTGCAAAGGCTTGTGTGTTTTTTTGGCAGTCCATGGGATATTCACTATCATTCACCAATATCACAACTTAAAGGTATCGATTCTTTTTTCATTCTTCTTTATTCATTTTTCAGCTTGTACATGCATTGCTGCTGAGTGAAAACTGATTAATCACCAGCCCTCCAGCAAGTTTCAAAGGCTGGAAATTACACACGGGGTCCTTTTCCCTGGGAGCACCTGGTAGATTCTAAAAGCCAAAGAGGTACAGCTTTTGTGTTAGGAATACAGATGATTATGCTACCAAAGAAGCAATGAAAAATATAGCCTGCTTTTTAGCATTTAAAGAGGTTGGCAGAAGATGTGCCCAATGCAACATGTCTTTTGATTTCTTGACTACTACCATGGATGCTGATATCAAGGCTCAATGAGGAGTTATTTGTTGATTGGTTTTTTAACTGGTGGTTGGCTCTGGGATAAGATTCTTTTCAGAGCAACAGCCAATAGAAAAAGTACTACTATCAAAACCAAAAAAGTTATCATCTGGTCCATTCCAACTCAGTAATTCTATAGGATAGTGAACTGCCACATCGGGTTCCAAGGTTATAAATCTTTACCCTGGCACACAGCCACATCTTTTTCCCCTTTGAGAATCTTTTAGTTAGAAGCCAAGTTCTTAACCACTGTGTGATCATGGCTCCTTCTGCACTCAACAAAAAGCTAAACATGTACAAAGAAAGTAAGCACTCAAAAGAAGTTAGTTTACACTCTCTACTCTTTGCTGCTGCTGGCTGACAAATCATAGCGATCTTATGAACAACAGATCTGAACCTCACCCCACCTTGAGCCACCCTCATCATCTGTCATACTCAAGTCCATTATTATAAACATTGAGTTTGACCATCTTATTGAAGGTCTTCTCTTTTGCTGACTCTCCACTTTTTCCAGCATGGTGTCTTTTCCCAAAGACTGGTTCTTCCTGACAACATACTCAAAATTTGTGAGGTGAAGTTCATCATCTTTGCCTCTAAGAAGAGCCACAGTTGTACTTCCTCCAAGACAGATTTTTGTATTCTTTTGGCAGTTCATGGGGTATTTAATACTCTTCTCCAACATTATAATTTAAAGACAACAATTCTTCAGTCATCCGTAGTCATTATCTTCCAGATGCTCAGTATTACTTGGATGAGGTTAAAAAAGTGAGCTTACCTATTTCATTTAAGAGGGTACAAACTACCAGTCCAACTTATGAACAACAAATCTTACTATGTTAACTTCACAATCGCTGCCAGTCTTGAGCCCACGATTGCAGTCACTGTGTTACTATATCTCTTCAAGGTTCTTCCTCTCGTTCGCTGGCCATCTACGTTTCCCAGCATAATGCCTTTTCCCAAGGACCAGCCCCCTCCTGATACTACAGTATCATTGTTGTTATGTGCCATTGAGTCGTCTGAGACTCATAGCGACCCTATGTACAACAGACCTAAACCCTGCTCTATCCTGTGCCAATCTTATTGCCTCTGATACACCTATCCCCATTAGCCCAGTGACTGAATCAATCCATCTCATCAAGGGTCTTCCTCTCCTGCACTGACCCTGCATCCACCCAAGCATGACGTCCCTCTCCAAGGACTGACCCCACCTTGCAACATGTCCAAAGTATGTGAGACAAAGCTTCAGAACCCTTGCCTCTAAGGAGAGGCCTGACTTCACCCTCTCCAGGACGAACTTGTTTGTTCTCCTAGAAGTCCATGGTATATTCAATACTCTTCTCCAGCATCACAGCTCAAAGGCATCAATTCTCCTTCTATCATCCCTAGTCATTGTCCAGTTTTCTGATGCACAGTAACTACTTGCAAAGACCATGGCCTGCATATTAGTCACCAGACTGACATCGTTGTTCTTCAGTACTTTGGAGAGGTTTCTGACACTAGACTTTCCTAATGCAATTCATCTTTTAATTTCCTGGCTGCTGGTACCAAGAGTGTTGATTGTAGAGCTAAGTAAACCAAACCTGTTTGATAATCTCAACCTCTTCACCATCTATCATGATGCTATCAATCAGCCCAGTGGTGATAGTGGTGATAGTGGTGTTTTCTTAATGTTGAGCTTCACTCCTGAACAATAACTAGAAACAAGTAATTTGTATTGATTTAAATTAAACTTAAATAAATATGACTAAAAATAAATGGATGCGTAAGTAAGTGGACCTGAGCTATTTCCATTACTAAATAAAACAGGAATCTTGTCAAATTAGTAGAGGCCCTTTGTGCTGAACACCAAATCAACCTGATAAAGGTTGATGATAATAAGAAACTGGGGGAGTGGGTAGGCCTCTGCAAAACTGACCGAGAAGGAAAGCCCCGCAAAGTAGTCGGCTGCAGTTGTGTAGTTGTTAAGGACTATGGCAAAGAATCACAGGCCAAGGATGTCATTGAAGAGTATTTCAAATGCAAGAAATGAAACCAATAAAGAACTTGGCATATTGCTTTTGTTACTTTTTTGAGGGGAGTGAGGAGCAATAAAATGGAGATTTTATAACAGAAAAAAATAAAATAAAACAGGAATCTAAAATAAACTATGAATTCCCTGCTAGGCAGTGTGGCAATTAAGTTAATCATTACATTACCCAGAAAGATCAGAAAATGCAAGCAAAATGATGATCCACTGAGGGAGTGACTGATTGCTCTGAGGTGAGTTAAAAGCCTTTCCTAACACCCAAGATGCAAAGGCCTATCAGTAAAAACCAGCACCTTACCTATCTACAGGTACATATCTACCTAAGTCACCTTTGACAGAAAGAAATAGAACCTAACTCTACAGTCCTCTGGAAAAGGAAATTCCATCATACATGTATTGACTCGCTTTATTAACAAAGCTCATTGTCGGAAATTTTTATTCTAATTCTTTGAGCTAAATCTTTTATTCTAAAGCTTAGTTATTTCCTCTCCTAATGTCATTAATTGGGATCTTTAAAACCTGGATAAATTCTCATAAGGCTGGTATCATTTCATGTGGTTCTGTAATTCCAGATTATATTTCAACCAAGGAAATAAAAACTACTTAATTTTTCCCAATTAAGTAGTATATAATTAACAAGTCTTTTACTGAAGTCTCATCACAGATTTCTCTAAGTAAAGGAACCTCCACCACTTTAATCCTCTCTCACGGGCTCTATTATCCAGCCTGTAAATTTGCTCCATGTTTTTTCAGTGACAGAGCACTCCACTGAACTCTAATAAGTACTGAATATAATGTACATGTTTAAAGCTAAAACTGAAGCTCTGGTGGCGTAGTATGTAAGGAATTGTGCTTCTAACTCCAGGATAGGTGATTTGAATCCATCAGCTGATCAGTAAGAAAAAAGATAGGCAAATTCCCCCTGTGTGATTGACTGTGTCTGAAAATTTGCTAGTTGTCTGAAAACTTGGTATGAGTCACTTCTAAATTGATGGTAATGAAGATTTTTTTAGTAATATAAAAATGTTACGTTGCTGATTTATGTTACTTTTTAATTGTTTTTTACTTCTACTCTGCCAACTGTGAGAATTTGTTTCTACACTGTTATTTCCAGTAATATATAAATAACGTGATTCCTTAATAACAGATATTACACTTTACTATGTAGTAGGATTTGTGCTGTTTCATATTCATCATCTCACCTAATATCCTCATAGTTTGATCAGGGTTATTGATGAGAACATCAAGTGTTGGAGAAATGAAATAATTTGATCAAATGAAGAGTTAGTCAGAGGAGTGAGAGAGTTAGAATATGGAACTAAATACGTACCACCTCACGGACTT